GTAACAGTAGGGCTAAGAGGACCAGGGGGAATTCTCCTCTTTAGAAACTCAAGTAAGTTGAAAGGAACATAACTGTATTTGTTTATTGAATACCTCTAGTTAAATAAAGAAAATGAGACCAAAATGACTGTGTTGACCCCTTTGATTCACGTATTTTGTTAAAAGGTCAGTGACCCTATTTTCCTCTGTGTTCAGAGGACAGTAATTCTAAGTTTAGGAGAAAGAACTATTTTCATTGGAGATTTTAATTATTTCTTCAAACACCCATTTCTCAGATTGACACTGTTTCCCTTGGTAAATAATGACTTAAAAAAAGTCAATAGTGAATATAATCACCAACCTTACAGTAATGAATTTTGATATTAAAACATTTTATTTTATTCACATCCCACTTTTTATTTTGTTTTTAGTTTTTCCAGGACATGCCCTACACTCTCTATGGGAAATCTTATCTGGCCCAGTTTCTGAAGTGCAGTTGTCAATCTCTACTAAGCACTCTAGAGGCAACTGTGGTATACAGTGCAGTGACTTAGAGGGAAAGTCTCAGAACAGATGTTCCGGGTGAGGACAAGGCCTGGAATTAACAATGACTGTACGACCTCAGTTTTCTCCATTCCTTACCTCCTACTGAAGACTAGACAATAATAGGAAGGGTATGGTTTGAGGGGCAGGGGTGGAAGAAGGCAGGATCAGGATGCTGCCAATGTGTCTGGGAAGAAAAAGTATGAATATTTATACTTCCCTGCCAATTCCAAATTTCCAGATTCTGCATTGGCAGCAATCTGAAAAGTGTGGTTCAATGTTACTGTAGGTAAGTGAGGTATAGAGAGTTTAGTAAATGAGACTATGAACACAGGGTAGTATCGACTGATAAAAAACTCAGAAATACTTCTCTGCACCTTAAACCCTACACTCACTTGAAGTGACCAACCTTATATAGCTCCTCTTTTCTTCATGTCAACTGAGCAAAATATTTAGGTTCTATCCCCATACTTAACTATAAACCATTTTCCTAAAACACGTGTTTTTTTCTATTGGGATCTCCCTTCTTCTGAAGTTTTCTCACTTAGACTCTCTCCCCAATGCATGTCTTTCAATCTTCGATAAACTATGTCTTGTTGTAAATTCACAAATCTTATTTTCTGAGATTAGATTTCTAATTCACCACAAAATCATAAGGTTTCAAAGACCAAGCCCAGAAATGTGCAGAGAGCCTACCATAAACAGGGTCCAAGTCCCCGACAGCAAAAACAGCCACGGTGCGTCTTGAGGAGCCCATCCCGCATCTCCTCAGCCAGCAGGGAAGGCAGAAGAGCACTGCTCCGCATAGCAGAGCCACCAGGAAAATTAGGAGCAAGAACCTGGTGTCAGAAGAATCAGGAGAGGATTGAGGTGGAGCACGCAGGAAACTTAAGACTCCTATTACACCCTGAAAAGGGGGCAAGACTGGCTGCAAGCAATCTGAGGGGCTGAATTCCTTAAGCAACCCCTCCCCACACCACCACCACCATTTGCACATTTTCACTGAACCTGGAATATAAGCTGAGCTCAGAGTGGGTTGATCTTGCCAGGTGATTATAATTGTTTTTTCTTTGAAATTTGGAAGGTTGTTCTCGGGAGCAGTGTCTTGGTTCTTCAATCCACTTACCCCTTTTTCCTTTAATACAACCATAAATCCATTCATTCCACCAGGATTTAAACAACTGAACAGACTTTTCAGGGGTCCTCAAACTACGGCCCGTGGGCCACATGCAAATACAAATATTGTATTTGTTCCCGTTTTGTTTTTTTTATTTCAAAATAAGATATGTGCAGTGTGCATAGGAATTTGTTCATAGTTTTTTTTTAAACTATAGTCCGGCCCTCCAACGGTCTGAGGGACAGTGAACTGGCCCCCTGTTTAAAAAGTTTGAGGACCCCTGCTTTAGATGTTGGGGTTGGGGATTCAAAGGTTGACAAGATAAGTCTGGCTGGCCTTGGCTAGGTGGTTGAGTATTGACCTATGAACCAGGAGGTTACAGTTCAGATTCACGGTCTGGGCACATGCCTGGGTTGTGAGCTCAATCCTCAGCTGGGGGGCTTTCTGTCTTTGAGGACCTATCTAAATGAGAAAGTTGGTAATGTTTAATTTGGAAAATACAAAAGTCAACATTTAGGATGGTATAATAACTTTTAAAATTTTCAAAAGTCTAGCTCATAAAAGCAGCAGCAGTTTTATTTTGAGTGATTTTTAAGGCCAGAACTAAAATCAGTGAAAGAGGCATTTCAGAAGATATCAAGAGAAGGAAGAATAATTTTACTTTTAAAGATTTTCAACCAGGGAGTAAATTATTCTTATTCTTAGAAATAGTAAGTTCCCTCTTATAGAAAGCACTTAAGTAAACACTGGACAACAACCTGAAAGTAATGTTTCTACATATATTGATTCACATGACCTCTATTATTTTCTTAATAGGTATGATTTCAAGTGCCATATCAGTTATTTGGTAAAAGGAATATGTATATACTACCAAAGATTTTTATAAAACAACTAGATGTCCAGTGCATGAATTTGTGCATGGGTGGGGTCCCTTGGCCTGGCTGGTGATCAAGATCTATAAGGGGGCCAGCCAGCCAGGGGAAGGGGCCCCAAGATCTATAAGGGGCCAGCCTGTCAGGTGGGCAAGCTGCCTGAGGGAGAGGGGCCATGGGAGATTGGCTGTGGGAGCACACTAACCACCAAGGGGCAACTCCTGCATTGAGTGCCTGCAACCTTGTGGTCAGTGTGCATCATAGCAACTGGTCGACTGGTCATTCTGGTTGTTCTGGTCATTCAATTATAATAGTCCCTTAGGCTTTTATATATATAGAAGTGAAGATGTCCTTACCAGATATACCAATCATTTGGGTATTGATTTTTATAGTTTATGTACCTGGTGACAAAGAAAGAACAATTAGTGTTGGACCTCTAAGTGACCCAAGCCTATTCTTTTGCACCATAACATTTTTTTTATGATTACACGTGTTTCCCCAACAATAATTTACTCACTGCAAGGCCCCCAACACAATTGGTAAATGTTTCCCATATGTTCACGTCATTCAAGGTGCTGAGGATACATGTGAGTGGAAACTGTCAGATACTTTAAAACAGATAATTGCATAGTAATAGGTTTGATGCCAGAGTTAAAAATACTGTAGTACATTGAGAAGATAGTGACTAACTTTTCAGGACTACCATGTGATAGGTATTAGGAGATAACCATTCCACTATTCTGTTTATTCAGAGACCTGGAGTCCTTTAAAATGCAAATTATCCAGGGAAGGTCATAGTGCCTATTAACCTTGGATATCTTGGTAGAGAATAGGAGCCCTGCAATTCTGGTTGGAAAAATAAATTAGGATAAAAGGAAAATGAATGAGTGTGGCCATACACACTCTTTACCAAGGAGTTAGAAGTTGATCTGTTAGTCAGGATGGTCAAACCATTTATGTGCTTCAGCATAACTTAATTGTTCTTAAGATAAGTTTAAAAAGATCACACAGAAAAAGACCACATTTTGGTTCACAGTGTGATTTTTAGGAGGTATAACTCCCCAGGTTTAGACACATGTGCTGTTCATTCCAGAGTCCCTTGCTATGCCACACACAGTGCTTTGAATGTATGTTTGCTGATGGACATTTTTCAACCTCGGTAGACGGGCTGCTGTTACAGTATTCTGGGATTAACGAGTTGAAGGCTGTTCATCACAGCCCGATAAGCTTCTGAGATGGCGCTGCACTTAATCACGTTTTCTTCAGCCTTTGTTAAAATAACACTCGGCACTTTTCAGCTTGAAAGCTTTCATAAATGTCAGCTAATTTATTACTCACAGCCTCCCTAAGGAGAAAGTGTGTCCTGTTTATCACACTACTCTTCAGAAATGACTTTTTAACATATGTGATTGTCAACTTAAAAATTTTACCCCAAATATTTAAGACAAAACTCAATCATCCAGAGAATAAGTTTTTGGGGTGTTTGTTTGTTTTGCACCTAGAGAATTTAGTCAAATGCACAGGTATAGATGGCTAGGAAAAATGACAGCAGAAGTGTGACTTTTTAAAAAAGCATTCTAAGACAAGTGATCATCAATAGAGGATTTTAAAAATAATTAATGGTACTTCCTTTTAAAGAAATATTATATATTCATCAAAAATGTAGATTTAGATTTATAGTTAAAAGCCTTGATAAGTAAAATAATAAAGAGCATCATTTCTAGTTTGTATACATTTTTAATACAAATATAATGATTTCACAAAATAAGTATTATATAGTTATATATACACATACATCAAATTACTAACAATGTTTGCTTCACTTGAAGATGGATGTCATGAGGCACTTTATCTTTTCAATATTTTTATACTGGTTAAATTTTTATAATGTACATACATCACTTTTGTAGTCATAAAAAATTTAAATATCACATTGAAATATACAAATTTTTAAAATGTAGTATCCTACTTTAGAGATGGATGCAGGAAACTTTTCTTGGTGATTTAGCCAAATAAAGTAACAGAAGGTTCTTATTTTTGAGACTTGAAATCTAAGCTCATGATCAGGAATGTGGATTGTTTCATTTCCCTCCATATATAAATCTCTGCTTCTTTTCTTTACATTTAAAAATAGACTATATTATAAATTAAAAATTGACTTATTATACTGTCAACCAGAGGCCCGGTGCATGAAATTCATGTACTGGGGGGCGGGGGGAGGGGGTCCCTCAGCCTGGCCTGTGTTACTGGGGGGAGGGGGTCCCTCAGCCTGGCCTGTGCCCTCTCACAGTCTGGTAGCCCTGTGATCTATCACCCCCACAGAGGGAGACCCCGCCCACCTGCCACAGCTTGCTGGTCAGTGGCCTGGGCCTCCCTCTGCAGGGTGATCATGGGGCAATAGCCAAGCCCCCAACCAATCACATCACACCCGTCTTGGCTGGCCTGGCACCAGTAGGTGTCATAGCATGGTTGTCCCGATGGTCACTCAGATGTTCGTTCCGCTGTTTGGCCATTCGGTCGATTTGCATATTATGCTTTAATTATTATAGATTCTAAATTTAACTACCTCATTTTATTTCCTAGGCTTAATTTTTTTAGTCACTCAATATTTTTTCCAGTGCTAACAGTTTTGCAAACTGACTTATTTCACTTTCTCTGTCTGAATCTGTAAACCTATTGATGGATTTTCTGATATGTAACAAAATGGTCTAGAAGCAGTTAGCTGAAGAAATGCAAAGTGATCATATAATTGAGGAACTACAGGAACCTTTGGGATAATTTATTTCCCCCTTAGGATTTTACATACTTTACCACTGAGACCCAGAGTGGAAAAATAATTGGGGAGGTCACTAGCTGCCCAAAAACTTAAACTACAATATGGGTCTTCGGACTTGGTGTACTTTCTTCCACATCATTATTTCTATGTCTTTCTCAAGTTCAATTTTCAAACAGAAATTCTTTGTGTTATTAAAAAAAATATCCGAACTGTGACAATATTCCAATTACTCAAATTTTAGATGTAAGATTTTCAGTGTAGTAAAAGTTACATTTTTTAAGATAAAGTTATTGCTCAGATATGTATATATGCTTGGTGAAATTGAAATAATGATGGCAAAAAAAAAAAGAAATCTGGGAAAAGTGAGAACGGATCTTTATTACTGTTCTCACTGCTGATAATCTGTGGATCTACGATGAACTACAAACTCATAACTTTGATAAATTTAAGAACTCAGAATGTATCCCAGTCATTAAGTGACACATGACTGTGAAGGGAACCAAACTTTTGCCTTTTGGGATATTCATTTTAAGCTATTTTTTAGAAAACAAAAGATTCAGAATCAACCTTTGACTTTTTCCCTTTCTAAGAGATTCAGATGGGAAGGCCTACTCAAAGAAGGGGACCTTAGGATATTAACTTTAGTTTAATTTAAATTAAGTAGGATAAATAAGAGGGCTTCAGTCAAAGTCCAATTAGCTAGATACGCTGTGTTCCATTGTTTCTGAGTTTCCCAGCAAATACTTATCTGCCTTGTACGTTCTACTCTTCCTCTCCTCAGTTACCCAAAAATGGCCCAGTCTCAATTTTGCAATCTAAGATCCAGTCCCCTTCTTTTTCCTTTGCAAAAATGACATTGACACCCAATTTTGCCCAATTATATTTGGAATTTTCATGCTTATGTGAATTTCCCATGGACATGTATTAAAATTCTGGTTTTCTTCTATCAATCTGTCTCTACTAATTTAATTGTTAGCCCTTTCAGAAAAACATAGAAGATGGGAGGAAAAGTATTATATATACTAGAGGCCTGATGCATGAAATTCGTGCAAGGGGCTCGGCCCTCACAGCCCTGGCTTCATCCCGAAGGTCGTCTGGAAGGTTGTCTGGACAGTCGTTCCACTGTTCAGCCTTCCGGTCTAATTAACATATTACACTTTTATTATTATAAATTTTTAGCCCCCACAACTGTATATCTGCACTTTGAAAGCTACACACAATACAGGTTAGAAATTTCATTAGTCTGCTTATATTTGAAACTGATTTATCCAGAAAGCTACCCCCCATCACCAATGTGATTTATGGGTATGTATGCAGCCATATAGGATGTAATAATTCTTTCATGAATGTAAAGTACCCTGAAACCTCAAAGGTGGAGAATGCTGTGAGCAAAAATACCTACAAATTAACTAGGCCTCTTATTTATTTAACAAAGCTGATCATAATAAAAGTGCATTTTCCCCCTGCTTTTAGAAAAATCAAGCCATTTGCATTTAAAACAATTTACCTTTATTTTTCTTGCATGGTTATAATGGTCATTTGGAACTCATTTGGGGTTTCTTAAAATTTGAGCCCTTTTTTTAGTCTTTCAATTTTGAAAATGTCTCTTGCTATTTACTTACATTTCATTTTCTTCACATGGTGGGTCCGAGAGCACCAACTGAAACACATGTTTAGAACAAATAAAATCCAAACATCTCATCAGTCTAATCCTTTAATACAACAGCACTTAGAGACAATGTGGGTTTTTATAATTTTGTTTCTGTAAGTAATGCTCACAGCCGACTCGGCTATTGTCAGGCGAACAGAATTTTAATTGAAAAAACAAAACAAAAAAAGCAATCTCTGGGTAGATTTTCCAGCTCAGCAGTGACAGGAAATATGTATTGTAAACCAGATTTCTATCCTACACATAATTATAGATAGGTGAAAAAATCTTTTTGTTTTTTTCTATAGGCAGATTTTGCTTGCTCTAAAAAGCCTTTATGCACCTTGCTTTTTTTCTTTGTTTTCAAATTTTAGCTAGATGGAGGAGGTTAATTATTTTATTATTTTCACACACAGACATCAAGTTCTCTACATAAAACAGAAGTCCATGCCATTAGCATTATTGGGTATTAAATATATGCTTGAAGGAGTGACTTTAACCTGCTTTAAGGCAAAGGTCAATTTAAGAGCACATGACATTCTTGTTGAGATTTACATTTCTCTCTTTATCAAAGAAGAAGGGAAAAGTAATAGTCTTCATGGCTTTGTTTTAAAAGACCCAAAGCATAAGCAATCCTATGCAATTATCTTAGTTCTGTGTGTTGAGCCTTACAGTTTACAGTAACTCACATCACAGAGGAAATAAAGTGCTCCTTTCTTAAGGTTTTGTTTGTTTTTCCCTTGACTTGAGACTCATCCTATGTACAACAGAAACATCTTTAAATGTCCTTTATAAATAGTCCTAAATATGGGTTGGTGAGGTTAGTGAAGTATGACTTTTCCTGGTCTATAACACAGAAGTATAAAACCAAGTAAGTAGTTACAAAAATTTAAAATGATACACATAGGAATTTTGTGGGAGATGTCTTTTTTATTATTATTATTAATCTCAAACGCATCTTTGTCAGCACCTTATATTTACTCCACCAGGTTTATCTGGGCAAAGAGATTTGTGGAGTCACAGATGGAGCCATGAATTGGCCGTCAGAGAGTGTGGTAATGAACAATTTATAAGCACAGAACATGACTTGTACTCTCTTTTGCTAGAATGCTGAAAATAGATTTGGATACTAACTGGGAGGAAAATGAACATTCAAATTTTGTCCATAAAGAGAGTTTATGTATGACTAGATGAAATCATTTGGGATCCAGTTGAACAGATAAACAAGTAAAGCCAGCATTTCACTTTGAAGTAATTTCCTAATCTTCTGGTGTGCTATACACCCCTCAGCCAAGGCAGTAGCTGTCAAACTCCGGGTTGTCAGGAAATGGGGAGCAAAGTCTTAATATATTTCAGAACTAAATCATTCAGATACTTTGCATTCATGTAACACATATGCAGAGATGCAGGTATTACTCTTGAGTGAGATGCTAGAGTAGAGGAAACAAAGTAAACTACCATGGTTCTGTCTACATTGTTCAGCAATGGGAAACTCTCAAGCATCAAGTGTGGTTGCAGGCAAGAGTAAACAAATATGTCTTAAATTAGCCCTATCATAGCATTTTGCTATGTCAATGGCATTTTTTATTCTAAAAAAAAATGTTTTACAGCATAGCAAAGATTACATTGCATCATCTTACTTCAATAGCAATAGAACTAAATAAAGTAGAAATAAGACTAATAGCGTAGGTCATTTTGTTTTCTGTAGCTTTGACCAATAAATGTAAGTAGTAATACAATCCTGGTAACACTTCCTTAAAGGAAATCCTTGAAATGTATGAGTTAAGTTTCCCCAAATAACAAATCAATAACCAATCAGGTCCTTAGAGTACCTCTGAAAATCTTTTCCCAGAAAGAGAGATGTTACCTGGAATAGTGGCAAACTCCAGGTTCCCGTTTTGGAGATCACTGAAGTGAAACTAAAAGGACTGGATCTCGACATGCTTAAAGGACAAGCTGCTCAAAGATAGTGGTTTGCTGTCCGTGTTAATTTCCCTCTTCCTCAGAACTTGCTAGCTTCTCTATAAATTATGCTTCCTACCAGAGCACTCATTAACGATGGCTCCTTGTGACTGGTAAAGTGCGTGCTGGGGGTAGGAATGTTGGGTGTGTGATCACAGGTACGGAGAGTTCAAGGAATTTCAGGTTAAGGTCAGAACCTTGGTACTGTTTGTCAAGGCCTTAAAAGCCAGGGTTATACATGCTGATCTGCAACACTGGCTGGCTGCTTAAAGAACTTAGGATATTCAAGTGCATGTTTTATTCCAGGGTATTTCTGGGTTTTATATAAAATCTCTTTTGTACTTGGAACATTTACTTGGCTTTCTCCCCTTTGTTGGTCCTCTTTGCTCTTCTTTTCCTACACATCGTTTTTAGTCCCAGATCTTACCTAACCTTGGGCATAAGGCTTTTCCTGCCTCATAATGATCACACCTTATTTTTAAACAGGTCATATTTCAATGCTTATTTTAATAAAACAACTCCAACACAGCTGCCAACAAAAATGTTTGCCAAAATACTTAGGGGAATTCTGAAAAAGAACAATGAAGAGGCATAAACTACTATATATTAAGATATTATAGTAGTAGAAAAATGTACAAAAAATGGTACTGTTGCACATAAACAATAAGATTATTGTACAAGGATAGTTTAGAAATAAATGAGAATAAACAGAGATTTATTTTTACTGCCATTTCAAAGCAGTGTGGAATAGGTGTTATTTAGGGAATGATGAACTGAGTGGTTAGATGGAAAGAATCTTCAAATGCCTAAGCACATTCACAATTAGAGAAATATAACTTACAAGTATAATCACATTGGCAAGTTTAAAAAATTTATAATATAGTGAGAGGAGATAGATGTGGGGAGGCAAGCCCTCTCACACATGGTTGGGAAAACTGTATAGCCTCACAGGAAGGCAATTAGGCAATATTTCTTAATCTAAAAACTGAATATATCCTTTTGCCATGAATTCTCCTTTCAGGGATGTGTCTTACAGATATTATTACATGTGGCACAAATAATTACAAGCAATGATGTTCACTGAAGCATTGTTGCTAATAACAACATATTGGAAACAGCCAGTCTCCATCAAAATGCGACTGATTAAATACAAAATGATTATATCCACTCAACAGAATACTAGGCCACTGTTTAAAAAGGTAATGGAAGATCACAGATGCTGTTGTGAAAAGGCTTCCATGAGTTATTAATTAAAGGAAATAAAATGTAGAACATTGTGTTCTACAATCATGCTACCTTTTATGTAATAAATAAACAAATATAGCTAGACTGTTTTTTTTACCATATAAAACTTAAACATATATACTCATATATACATAGACTGTCTCTGCTTGAAACTATTAAACTGTAAAAGAGAGAGTCTGAGTCAGGCCGGCGTGGCTCAGTGGTTGAGCATTGATCTATGAACCAGGAGGTCACGGTTCTATTCTGGGTCAGGGCACATGCCTGGGTTGCTGGTTCAATCCCCAGTGGGGGAGGTGTGCATGATTCTCTCTCATCATTGATGTTTCTATCTCTCCCTTCCTCTCTGAAATCAATAAAAATGTATATAAAAATAAAAGGGAGAGTCAGGAAATAAGAGTAGAAGGTAAATTTACTTTTCACTGTTAGTTTCTTATATGTTTAATTTTAAAAGAATTCTCTATATGTAATCTACTCCTTTTATATGGATATTTCTATAGGCAAATTCAAGTCATCTAGAATTCAGAACAAGCATGTTGTAGTTCAAGCCCCATAAAGTTCACTGAATCTAATTCAGATGACTATGTATTAATTTATTTATGATCACATACGTAGATTGCTCTAGAAACAAACCAGCCATGTTAGTTACCTAAACTACCATCTGAACTGGCCATTAAGGTATATGGATTAGCCGAGCTGCATCTGGACACTAAGCAGGCTGTGGCGGCCTCGGTCTGTTTAGTATGCAGCCACAGACACAGCCATGAATTTCAAAGCACAGGAAGGGCTTGGTGCCAATGCCAATAGGAGATAAGTAAACCAAGCCTACAGTATTATTTGTCCCTAAGACACCCTTCATTCTGAGTGTCTCTGAAGCCTGTAATTAAATAGAATGAAAAAATGGGCTTTTCACTCGTGAACTTATTTATTAGGCGGTGGGTCAGAAGCCTCACTTCCGCAGGTGGAGTCAATGATCTTACGGATTCTTAGGGAAGGAAGGGAAGGTCAGATGACTAAAAAGAATGGAATGGAAACAAGGGCAGCATGTTTGGTTTAGCTTTAAAAGCTGAAACTATGACCAACTAGATACATAGATTAAATAATTCTTATGAAAAAATAAATGGTCCCAAAGCAGATGGCTGACTGGGAGTGTGGCAGCTGATTGAAGGTGGGTCTATAGTCACAGTAATACTGCAAACAACACTACTATATATATATTACCACCTTTCTCTTCCCTGATTGCTGTGTAACTGTTTACCTCTGTGACTTTCTCACTCCACTCTGAAAGGCCAGCATTGTAGATTCTGCCTAAGACAGTAGTTTCCCTAGTGCATTCCTTTCCCATCATCATAACAATTTGATGGTCTCCGTAAAAGAAAGCTGCCCATGAATGTCTTTTTACCTGCATAAATTTTAAAACATTTTATTTTGATGTAATTCTAGATTCACATGCAGTTTAAAAAATACAGAGGTATCATATATTCTTCACCCAGTTGTCCCCAATAGAAACTTAATTAATTGCTTAATTAATGTACAATATGACAACCAGAAATTTGGCAGTGATACATCCACTGCCTGCATGATTTTTGTAACTTATATTTTATCATTTAAAATTTGTGATTAAGCCAATAATTGTACCCATGCATGTTTATGTATATAAACTTATGGTAGCGAGTTACCATCACTGGGCTGTCAACCTGAACATGGATGATGGCTATCCATAACAATATGATCTCCTCACTAATAGTATATGGATTTCTGATGTTTGAATATAAGGGTGGAAGGAAGCAAAACTATTAGAAAGAATCAAGAAGAAGAAGAAAGAGGACATATACTGTGATAATATATGAGATTACAATCACAAGATTTATTGGGTGCTTGGATGTTGGACTCTGTAATCCTCATCTTTGTAACAGACAATGGTAGATGCATGTTTAATGGTACAGTGCTGATCATTTACCCAGCTTTTCTCCTATGCTAGGAGGAAGTAAATCCTGTAGGAAAGACTGGAGATGAGGGGATATAAAAACTAGCCTCTGGATTTGGAGCCTGGCAGAAGTCTAAATTCCATGAAGCTCTAAAGTCATACTGATATTTGTCCTTAAAGGTCATGGTGTGCAGCTGTTCAAAAAAATCCAGGGACCAAAATTCAAGGGATTAAGTAAGAATAAATAGAAGGTATGAAAAGAAGTGAGCAATGCATCAAGAAAGGTCCAAAGAACAAGAAAGGAAGCATCAGCCCTAGCCAGTTTGCTCAGTGGCTAGAGTTCGGCCTGAGGACTGAAGGGTCCCGGGTTCAATTCTGGTCAAGGGCACATGCCCAGGTTGCAGGTTCGATCCCTAGTATGGGGTGTGCAGGAGGCAGCCAATCAATGATTCTCTCTCATCATTGATGTTTCTATCTCTCTCTCCTTCTCCCTTCCTCTCTGAAATTTAAAATAAAAGGAGCATCAGTCCCTCTTTTTATGGGAATTAAAGGAACAGGGTAAGGTTCTAGTAGTCAGAAGGCCTTTGCTGAATTGATCTTCTCTACAAACTATGTTCTACAAAACAATGATAATAACATTTGCTTAATTCCCTCACAAAATTTTTGTAAAAGTCAACTTGAAAATATTAACATAAAATCAGGCAAGGCACAGACATAAGCAATTGATTACTGTAGCATAATAAAACAAGATAAAGAATTCAAAAATCAGATTAGTTCATGAAAAGGATGGGAGCCAGGTTATGTAAGGAGCACTTTAAGTAAGGCAGCTTGTCTGGTTGTTGGTTTAATAATTTGCTTCTCCCCAGTGAGAAGAAATATTGATTATATTGCTAAACCAATGGTCAATGTTTAGTCTTCATCTTACTTCACCTAATTGCCAGCATTTGACATGGGTACTCACTTCTCCTTTACTTTCTTCACCTGGCTTCCAGAAGAATACATTTACTGATTTCTCTCCCACTTTATTGACTGTTTTCTCCAATTTTTCCTCATCTCTTTAGACTTAATATGTTAGGGCTACCCTAAGACTGAACTTTGACTTCTTTCTTTTCTATATACTTTCACATTTTGGTGAATTTTATTCAGTCTCATAGATTTTCATCTATAGATTAGCAGCTCCAAAATGCATATTTCCAGTCCAGATCACTTTCCTGAATTTCTTTAACCAACTGCCAACTCTATGTCACCATTTGGATGTGTCTATTAAACTTCTGCAAGTAAACTTGCCTCAAATCTAGCTTCTGATTTTCCCATCTCCCCTCTCCCTGTTTATTCCCATAGATCTTTCCTATATCAGTAAATCTTTTGCTTTGGTTTTCAGGCTCAAAAGACTTGTAAATATTTTTGAACTCTCTCTTTCATAGAGAGAGATGGTAATCTACCATCAACCAGCCAATTCTGTAGTTTCTACTTTCAAGATATATACAATCCCCGCCACTTTTTATTACCTTCGCCAGAAACTCTTCACCTGAACTACTCACCAGTCACCATCATCTGTCACCTGAATTAGTTCAATAGCTTCCTAGCAAGTCTTTCTGCTTTACCTTATCTGCTTACAATCTACTCTTAACATAGCAACCACAGTGATGTTCTCTTCCATAAGTTAGATCCTGTCACTCTTCTGCACAAAACTCAAGTGGTTTCATATTTCCCTTCATGAAAAAGGGAAGTCCCTGAAGTGGCTTACAAAACCTCACAAGGTCTGTCCTCTCTTTTCTTTCTGGCCTCATGTTCTACTGGTCTCCTCTTGAGTCATTCTGTTCCAGGTACACTGGCCTCCTTGCTTTTCCTAGAAATTCCCAGGTATTCTCCTGGGCCTTTGCATTTGCTGTTCCTTCCATCTGCAGGGCAACCTACTCATTTGTCCACATGGCTTACTCCCTCACCTGTGCTCAA